TACTGACCCCTGAACTCTGCATCACTTCCTACTGACCCCTGACTCTGCATCACTTACTACTGACCCCTGAACTCTGCATCACTTACTACTGACCCCTGAACTCTGCATCACTTACTACTAACCTTGAAACTCTGCATCACTTCCTACTGACCCCTGAACTCTGCATCACTTACTACTAACCTTGAAACTCTGCATCACTTACTACTGACCCCTCAACTCTGCATCACTTCCTACTGACCCCTGAACTCTGCATCACTACTGACCTCAAAGCTCTGCATCACTTACTACTGACCCCTGAATTCTGCATCACTTACTACTGACCCCTGAGCTCTGCATCACTTACAACTGACCCCTGAGCTCTGCATCACTTACTACTGACCCCTGAACTCTGCATCACTTCCTACTGACCCCTGAACTCTGCATCACTACTGACCTCAAAGCTCTGCATCACTTACTACTGACCCCTGAATTCTGCATCACTTACTACTGACCCCTGAGCTCTGCATCACTTACAACTGACCCCTGAGCTCTGCATCACTTACAACTGACCCCTGAACTCTGCATCACTTACTACTGACCCCTGAACTCTATGTCACAACTGACCCCTGAACTCTGTGTCACTACTGACCTCTGAGCTGTGCATCACTAACTACTGACCTCCACACTCTGCGTCACAACTGTTTTCTGATTTCTGCATCACTTACTGCTAACCTCTGAACTCTGCATTATTTACTATTGACCACTGAACTCTGCCTCACTTAATCCTGACTTCTGTACTCTGTCTCAAATACTACTGACCTCTGAACTCTTCATCACTCACTGCTGGCATTTGAACTCTGCGTCACTTACTGCAGAGTTCAGGGGTCAGCAGTAACAGAGTTCAGAGGTTAGTAGTAAGTGACCCTCTGTTTCACATCACAGGTTACCTTTTTCTATGTATCCTGAACAATTCTGGCAGTTGTGACTGCTTTTTTTCTTGGTCTACCTGACCTTGGTTAGGTATCGAGAGACGCTTGAATTTTCCACTGATGAATAAGTGATTGAACTGTACTGACTGGCATATTCAAGGCTTTGGATATCTTTTTATATCCTTTTCCAACTTTATAAAGTTCCATTACCTTGCTACACAGGCTTTTGACAATTCTTTTCCGCTCCCCATGGCTCAGTATCTAGCTTGCACAGTGCATCCACATGAGAGCTGATAAACTCATTGACTATTTATACACAGGTACTAATTCCTTTTTATAAAGCCACAGATGTGGTAAATTAACCTTTATTTGCCATTTTTAACCCGTGTGTCTCACCTCGTGTGTCTGTACCAAGGCCAAACATTCCAATGTATGTAGACTTTTGATCATGGCCATTTAGGTGATTTCTGTTTTCATTATGATTTAAAAAGGAGCCAAACAACTATGTGATAATAAATGGCGTCATATGGTCACTATCCTTAAATAAAAGACCGGTTTTTGGCATGGTCAGTCATATTTTCAATATCAATGTCAAAATTTCACAATTGCTGTCAGGGTATGCAAACTTTTGAGCACAACTGTATTCACACTAGCGTACGCTCACACACATCTGCTGCCGGAACCGATGCCAAATGCCCTATATGAAGACAGTGACTGTGCTCAGAGTTAGCTGGATGATCTTCAGCTACCAATTGTTGCTCCTGTACATCCTGTAATGTTTGGACTACCTCTTACCGACCTGACTTGCCTCTGGACCTCTCTGCTGCCTGACTCCTGGTTTGACTCCGGCTTGTTATAAGGACTCTGCTTCTCTTGTTCAACCGTGTATGACTCTGGCTTGCTCCTTTGACTACTCTTCTGCCTGCTCCACTGGATCCCTGTGTATGACTTCGGCTCTGTTCTTGAACATGCTCCTATCTACTCCCTGGCTTGCCTTCTTGTGTATGACTTTGGCTGCCATTCTGACTACGTTTCCTCAGTCCAGTCCTGCCATCCTGACCTTGCTTCTTTCTCAGGTGCCTCCTCGCTTGTGGTCACTGCCTTGGTCCCATGACAGCTACCTGGTGGACTCTGATGCAAGCAACTTCCAGCATCTACCTAAACAGTTCCCTTGCTTCTTTGATCCTAGTACTCCCTGTTCTCACATTCAGAGGTGCTTGGCTCTCAGCCACATGGGAAGCCCTCTTGTCGAATTGGCCTCAGACCAGGTATGTGACAAGGTGGATCATTCAATCATCTGCCCATCCTCCATTTATAGATCGTTCTTCATTCATTGAGGGTATAGTATAACTTCTATGAAAGGAGGAGGTGGATGGAAAGAGCGGGTATAGTTGGACATCCTCGATGAGTGCCTGTCTCAACTCCCTCAGCTCTATTAGCCCTTGCCACATTGGAAGAGTACAGCGGCCAAGGTAGGGGCAGGATTGGAGGAGGAACATTTATACTAAACCAGAAGGCCGCAGCACAAAGGACACATGACATTAATAAGAAAGTCTCTAGGTCCCATTTTTTTAAAACTAAACTTAGGATTTAAACTAAGGCATTTACCAAAAAGTATGCAAAATTTGGAGCAACTCTTCATATAAGCCAATCAGCTTCCAGGTTTTATTGTCAAAGCTAACTGAACAAGCTGAAGTTAGATGCTATTGGCTGCCATACACAGCATGCTATGTAACCCTTAATATAAGCCATTGCCTTCAAAAGTTCCAGTGTGGGTCAAACTAAAGAAAATAACCTTTCACATGTGTGTAATGATTTTCAAAAAATCTCTCTATATTTTAAAACTAACAAAACGACCCAATGGCCACTACTCAGTCCTCTTACTCCTCGACCTTTCCGCGGCCTTTGACACAGTTGACCACCACCTCCTCCTTAATAAAACTACACTCCCTCGGCATCTGAGACTCCGCTCTCTCCTGGTTCTCCTCCTATATATCGCAACGCTCCTTCAGCGTTACCTATAACACTACCACCTCCCCCTCTCTCCCCCTCTCTGTTGGGGTCCCCCAAGGCTCTGTCCTTGGGCCCCTTCTCTTCTCCATGTACACCTCCTCCCTTGGCAAACTGATACACTCCCACGGCTTCAACTATCACCTCTACGCAAATGACATGCAAATTTACCTCTCCACCCCTCAACTCACCCCTTCTGTCTCCGCCCGTATCACCCACCTACTGAACGACATATCAGACTGGATGTCGCTCCATTTCCTCAAATTGAATCTTTCCAAAACCGAGCTCCTGGTTCCCCCCCAAGCCCGTGCCCCCCCCCCTCCATCACGACCAACAACGCCACCATCAGTCCCACCCCACAAGCCAAAGTCCTAGGTGTCACTCTAGACTCAAACCTGTCCTTCCAACCCCATGTCCAACCATTGGCAAACTCATGTAGGCTCCACCTCCACAACATCTCCAAAATACGTTCGTTCCTAACCCCAGACACTACTAAACAACTCGTTCACTCCCTTATTATCTCACGTCTGGACTACTGCAACTCCCTCCTCATCGGCCTACCTCATCACAGACTATCCCCGCTTCAGTCTATCCTGAACTCATTGGCCAGACTTATCCACCTTACCAACCGCTCCGCTTCTGCCACCCCCCTCTGTCGTTCCCTCCACTGGCTCCACCCCCCCTCTGTCATTCCCTCCACTGGCTCCCGATTGCCCAACGCATTTAAATTCAAACTACTAACACAGACATACAAAGCCATTCATAACGCTGCCCAAAACTACCTCACCGACCTGATAACCAAATACCACCCAACCCGTACTCTTCGCTCCTCATAAGACCTCCTACTTTCTAGCTCCCTGGTCTCCACCTCCCACGCCCGACTGCAGGACTTCTCCAGGACTTTCTCCATCCTCTGGAACTCACTACCCAAATCCATCAGACTGTCACCTACCCTCCACACCTTTAGGCGCACCCTGAAAACCCATCTCTTCAGGGAAGCCTACCCTGCCCTCACCTAACAGCCGATCTCCTCCACTCCTCCCACCACTCCATCCCCCACAGCCACTTCCTCCTGTACCACTATCCCCTCCCTCCTAGATTGTAAGCTCGAAAGAGCAGGGCCCTCGAACCCCTCGTGTATTGTATTGTTACTGTATTGTCTCATGTACTGTCCCCCACTATAATGTACAGCGCTGAGCAAACCTTCTGCCGCTATATAAATACTGTATAATAATAATAATAATTTGTATTTTGCCTAAACTTTAAAATATACAAGAGTCCCACCAGAAGGAAAGATGCCGCAAGAAAGATAGTTCTGTGCTAACCCACATGGAAGAGAAATATATTTCCATTATATTTAGAAAAAAAAAATGATATATGTGACATATATTTACAATATATTGGCCTACGCTAATATATTTTAACATGTATTCTAAAAAATGTAAATTTAAATATATTTTCTAAAGGCATATATTTAAATATATATATTTTAAAAATATATTCTTCAGATTTTTTTTTTTAACATAGAAAAAAGTCATTTTAACATATGTTTACATATACCGAATTTTTCGCTCCATAAGACGCACTTTTTTTCTCCAAAAAAAGGGGGGGGGGAATGTCAGTGCGTCTTATGGAGCGAATATGGAGCGGCCGGTCCCCACCGCCGCCGCTGTGTCAGAATACCGGGCCGGCCGCTCGTCTCTTCTCTGCAGCAGGACCTCACTTGTTCCTCGGTCCAGCGCTGCTAAGGCTTCCCGCATCGGCATCTTTAGTGTGGGCTCCCGGCTGTGACAGCCGGGTGCCCACTGCGCATGCGCGAGAAGCGCTGCGCTTTGTGAATAGTACAGCGTCTTCTGGGACACATGACAGGTCCCAGAAGACGCCGGACCATGCGCATGCGCAGTGGGCACCCGGCTATCAGCCGGGTGCCCACACTATAAAGGGACAACTCAGCGGAAGTAAGAGCAGGTACCTTTCAAATTCAGGTACCCGCTCCCCCTCCCTCCACAAAGGTCAGCATTCTCTTAGTTATCTGCAGTCTCTGGTCAGTCATCCCCTGCACTGTCCTTTCTCTGCTCAGCCCCTGCACTGTCCGCAGTTCTTGTCAGCCCCTGCACGTGTCCGCAGTCTCCGGTCATTCCTGCACCGTGTCCGCAGTCTCTGGTCATCTCCTGTACTATGTCCGCAGTCTCTGGTCATCTCCTGTACCGTGTCCGCAGTCTCTGGTCATTTCCTGCACCGTGTCTGCAGTCTCTGGCCATCCCCTGTACTGTCTGCAGTCTCTGGTCATCTCCTGTACTGTCCTCAGTCTCTAGTCATCCACTGCACTGTCCGTAGTCTCTGGTCATCTCCTGTACTATGTCCGCAGTCTCTGGTCATCTCCTGTAGTATGTCCGCAGTCTCTGGTCATCTCTGTACTGTAGTATGTCCGCAGTCTCTGGTCATCTCCTGTACTGTCCGCAGTCTTGGTCATCCCTTGCATTGTCCGCAGTCTCTGGTCATCCCCTGCACTGTCTCTGGTTCGCAGTCTTTGGTCATCCCCTGCACTGTCCGCAGTCTCTGGTCATCCCCTGCACTGTCCGCAGTCTCTGGTCATCCCCTGCACTGTTCGCAGTCTCTGGTCATCCCCTGTCACTGTCCGCAGTCTCTGGTCATCCCCTGCACTGTCCGCAGTCTCTGGTCATTCCCCTGTACTGTGTCCGCAGTCTCTGGTCATCTCCTGTACTATGTCCGCAGTCTCTGGTCATCCCCTGTACTGTCTGCAGTCTCTGGTCATCCCTGTACTGTCTGCAGTCTCTGGTCATCCCCTGTACTGTCTGCAGTCTCTGGTCATCTCCTGTACTGTCCGCAGTCTCTGGTCATCTCCTGTACTGTCCGCAGTCTCTGGTCATCTACTATGTCTACTGTCCTGTATACTGTGTCCGCAGTCCTTGGTCATTCATACTCCTGTCACTATACTGTCCGCAGTCTCTGGTCATCTCCTGTACTGTGTCTGCAGTCTCTGGTCATCTCCTGTACTATGTCTGCAGTCTCTGGTCATCCCCTGTACTATGTCCGCAGTCTCTTGGTCATTCCCTATACTGTCCACAGTCTCCGGTCATCCCCTATACTGTCCGCAGTCTCTGGTCATCTCCTGTACTGTGTCTGCAGTCTCTGGTCATCTCCTGTACTATGTCTGCAGTCTCTGGTCATCTCCTGTACTATGTCCGCAGTCTCTGGTCATCTCCTGTACTATGTCCGCAGTCTCTGGTCATCTCCTGTACTATGTCCGCAGTCTCTGGTCATCTCCTGTACTGTGTCTGCAGTCTCTGGTCATCCTCTGTACTGTGTCTGCAGTCTCTGGTCATCCCCTGTACTGTGTCCGCAGTCTCTGGTCATCTCCTGTACTGTGTCCGCAGTCTCTGGTCATCTCCATGTACTTCTGTCCGCAGTCTCTGGTCATCCCTGTACTATGTCCGCAGTCTCTGGTCATCTCCTGTACTATGTCCACAGTCCCTGTTAATCTCCTGTACTGTGTCTGCAGTCCATTGGTTCAGAATATTTTTTTTCTTGTTTTCCGCCTCTAAAACCTAGGTGCGTCTTATGGAATCAAAAAATACGGTATTTGCAAATGCATTCCAAAAATATAAATTAAATATATTTTCAGAGACATATATTTGAAAATGTGTTTTTAAAAATATTTTTTAAAATTTAAAAGATGCACTTCAACATACAGTTTATATATATATTGAAATATATTGAATACGGCCAAAATTGTATTTCAAATATATGTCAATATATTTGGGAAGAATATTTTTAAAATATATTTAAAATATATTTTTCTTCCACGTGGGAAAGAATAGCAATGGAAACATCATTATGAGCACCTTACTGCTACCTAAAGCTTCCTAGAAAGACAAACAATAACTGGGCTATGATCCCTAGTGAGCACTGCTGACTTGGTGGCCGTCTTTAGCATAAACTACCACTAGATGGCACATTTGGGTTACAGTTTACTATTCTTTTGTTCCATTGCATTCTATTTTCCTGCTTCTCCATTCTCATTGTAAGAACAGGTTAGGCAAAAGCCAACTATCTATATGAAGAATTAAGCCAAACATCTTGCAATTCTAACTGCGTATGTAACAAAATAATCCTATTTGCAAACACGGTTTTTATAGTGTGATTACTGCTATGTTAGGAAGACATAGGGGTTGATTTACTAAAACTGAAGAGTGCAAAATCTGGTGCAGCTCTGCACAGAAACCAATCAGCTTCCAGTTTTTACTGTCAAAGCTTAACCTCCCTGGCGGTATTCCCGAGTGTAGCTCGGGGTCGAGTTTCAGTACCAAAAGCGGTAAACCCCCGAGCTACACTCGGGCTTACCATGCGGCGTTGCACAGGGATTCAGTGCAGCACTTACCTTGTCCTTCGCTCCCGCGATGTGTCCCCTGCAGCGTCCCCGGCCATCTCCTCCGGCCAATGCCGGCATCCGGCTTCTGTGTTCCGGTCCCTGTGACGTCGGGACGTACGGGCGCCGGAACCGGCGGCAAATTTGAAATTTTAAAAAAATTACATTTTTTTAAAAATGATTATTACATAGTAAAACATTCCTGTATCAAACCATTTCACATACATTTTGTCCCGAGTGCTTTGTCCGGCGCCCTGCCTGCATTTTGACTGTTCTTTCTGCCTGGAAACTTAGAAAAAGTCCATGGCGTCCAAAAAGCGTCCCTTTAGGTCAAAAGCGGTTTTAGACCGGCTAGAGAACAGCGATAGTAAATCAGAACCACTTGCAGAATTGAGTGATAATGATTTCTGGGGGAAATTCCTCATCAGACACTGAAAACGATTCTGCGACTTTGCTCAGCGATGTGCGAACTTGGCGCTCTATTTCAAATTTCAGTGTTTTTGGTTTGATTATATTATTGAATTAAATTTATTATTATTATATTATTATTTTTTATGATTATTTATTAAATTATAATTTATGATTTCGTGTTTCAAGTTTTATCATCTCCGGGATGTTTACTAGACTCTTGTTTCGGACAGATTTCAGTGAGTTATTCCTAAAAATTACAGCCTACAATAAAAAAACTACATATTTCCATGCAAAAAAATGGTACCTCTTTCAGTACCAAAAATCTGAAATAATCATACCGCCAGGGAGGTTAATTAACCATTTACCCTCCTAAGGATTTACCCCCCTTCCTGACCAGGCCATTTTTTTCATTACGGCGCTGCGGACAGGGACTTGTTTGAATGCACAGTATGTAAAGAGCTGTGTAAATTGTTGGCCTTGTATAAATACTTATAATAAATACATATAGTAAATCCTAGTGGGCAGGGGCGGACTGACAACTCATGGGGCCCCCGGACAATAGGGGATCATGGGGCCCCTGTGTCCTTGCCCAAACTCAAAAAAGCCTATGAAAAAGGTACCAGGGGCATCTCATGGGGCCCCCTACTGACCCTGGGCCCTCGGGCAGTGCCCGAGTCTCCAAATGGTCAGTCCGCCCCTGGTAGTGGGTTTGAGTCTGTAATATATTTTTTTCTTAAAGTCTGCCTGTATTTCTTCTACTATTACGTGTCTAGTCTGTTGTACATTATTTCAGAAATCCTTGTGGTTGTGATCAGGGGTGGACTGACCATTGGGGAACTCGGGCACTCTCCAGGGCCCGGGGTCAGTAGGGGGCCCCATGAGATGTCCCTGGTACCTTTCATAGGCTTTTTTGGGTGTGGTTTGAGTGTGGGCAAGGACACAGGGACCCCATGATCCCCTATTGCCCGGGGGCCCCATGAGTTGTCAGTCCGCCCCTGGTTGTGATTTACTATAAGCCCAAGGAAACAGTACACAAAGGCCAGGAACTGGGAACTCAAAGAGTAAGTCTAGGTTCACACTTAAGTGTTTTGTGGTGCATTCTGCATTTTGCAGAAACGCACTACACTCCATTTAACATGATCTCCTATGACACGTTCACATCTCCGAGTTTTCACCCGGTGCATATTTTGGAAAGGGTAAGGGACTTTTTTTAAATGCAAAATGTTGCGTTTTGGTTCAATAGACTGCAATGAAGACGATGCAGAAATGCATGTAGTGCGTTTTTGATGCATTTTTGCATTTTAATCTGCCCAGCAACAAGTTGGCAAACCCCCCCTCCCTAAAAACACATCAAAGACATGTCAAAAATGCAAAATGCACCACAAAAAGCACAGCAGAATCGGATCAAACGCAAACTGCATAGGTGTGAACCTAGCTTAAAACAGACAACTGTCCTATTGTGTCCCAAGCAATTCAACAAAGCACATGTACAGTTACATAATAGAATTGAATAAAATATAAAGTTGATAGAAGTCTTCCGAAATTCAAATTTCGAAAAGAATAGAATAGAGTAAAACAGAATAGAATAATAAATAAAATAATACAAAAGGATAAAATATGAAGGAATAGAAAAGAACAAAATAGAAAATAAAAGAATAGAACAGTTTAGAAAATAACAGAATACAACAGAAAATACAGGAATAGAATAGAAAAGAAAAATATAGAATAGAATAAAATAGAATAGAAAGAATATAGCCTTCTTCTGAAATTCGAATTTTGAATAGAATAGAATAAAATAGAAAAATATAGTCATCTTCCAAATTTCGAATTTCAAATAGAATAGAACCAGCTATTCTTTACAATGAATTTGGATCGATTCAGTATTTTCAAATCCACTGGAAAAATTTGAATCTGTTTGAAAATTAATTAAAAAAGTGAAACTAAACTAATTTTGTTATCAAAGCAATTAAATGAATTAGTAACTTAACCATTTGCCGCCCGCCCTATGGCCGAATGGCGGGCGGCAAATGTCATCAGCGTTCTGGGTGGACGCCATATGGCGTCCTCCCGCACATGTGCAGATTGCGCTCCTGCAGAGCGGCACAGCGGCGCGATCTGTCTCGGGCCGTGTACCTCAGACACGGCCGATAACAGATCTGAGTATCGGCCCCCGTTGCCAGTATTATGTGACCTGCTGTGACCAATCACAGCAGGTCACATGACAGTTGTATACAATAGATGGCTTCATTCATGCCATCCATTGTATACTAGTGAATGGTCACAGCGATCACATGCACATGTCATGTGCATGAACCTGCTGGCCAGCATCATATATACCAAAGAAATATCAAAAAGGGCAAATAAGACCCCCCCACTCACTCCCAGCGGCTTTCTTTGGTATATAAGACTGTGGCCAGCAGGTTCATGCTTAGCTCTGAGGAAGGGGGTTTAGCTCCCGAAACGCGTCAGCTCATCCGCATCACAGACTTAGCACATGCAACTGTTTTTGTGGACCCTTTGCACTGCTTTTAATATCGTTGGTTTGTAAATATATAATCATTTGTCTATCATTAAAACACGTGGTTTACCACGGTAATGCAGGATGAGAGTGCGCCCTTTTTTGTTCTTTTTTAAGAGTGTGGTAGTGAGCCT